TTTATTTACTTCCTGTTATTTAACCAGGCAAGTCCCTTTGAGATCTCAGATCTCTTTTTCAAGGGAGGCCTGGAGGCAACTTATTGTACATGTCTTAAGGGGTCGGGGAAAACCGGAGTACCTGGAGAGAACCCACGCAAGCACAAGGAGAACATGCAAACTCTGCATAGAAAGACCCCAGGTCCAAACCGGAGATTGAACCCAGGACCTTCTTGAGGCATTGGTGCTAACCACTGTAGACCTCAACTGAAGGATTTAAATGTGAAGAAGGATTTCAAATCATCTTATGTCTCCTTTAAGAGTCATTAATGCAGACATCACATCAATTGCACAAAAAGGAAGTTCTCGGATAAAGTATTTTGTGTAAGACGTGCATGAATCCTAACAGGATGTTGCCTCACAGTGCAGAAAGAAACAAACACTGGAGGATTAAAAAGTAAAATACTCCACAGTGATCATTTAAGTTGTCTGATTTAGTTGTTTGCAGCTTTACTAAGATAAAGCCAAAGGCAGAAACAAACAAACAAACAAAAACTTATATAACAGCTGCASCAAAAAGCCTGGGAACACATTAAAGGAAGAAGAAATCCATTCTTTTGGTGCATCAGTTCCAGACTTCATGAAGTCAACACCTGTAAGGACTGAACAGTGAACCTTTTATTTACGGTGACGTTCAAATTTCCAATTATAAAGAAACCCCTGAGTTCAAGAGCTGTAACTCCTCAAGATTCCTCCCAGGTTGGATTTCTCTGACTCACTGTAGCACTTTTAATAAAATAGTAACTGWAATAGGGTTTTTATAGTTTGTTTGTACCCACTTTTTCATTTTGAGTATTTATTTTGTCAAGATGAGCATGGAGAAAAAGTTTTCCAGTACCTTTGAGTTCTGCACGGCGGTCATTCACTTTCAGAGACAAACATGACCTCCTCCTGTGGCCGCTATCAGCGCTTCAATACATTTTGAACCGTTTACAGATTTCTATGGATGTGTGGTCACGACCAAAGTTTTCCTGTTACGTAAGTCTGCTGAAATTGCAACAGCGGCACAAAAAATATTGATTTCCATGCAGGTGGTTCCATCTGTTGTTGACTCTGGGACAAAGGTCGATTGTTTCCTTCAWAGACAGTGAATCTGCAGCAACATATGACAACCTATTTCCTAAAGCCTGGAAAAACTTAAAGCTGAAGTTCAGGAAAGTGAAATGAAGCTTTGTTCAAGCATTGGAATGAATGAAAAGACAGCTTCAATTCATCTTAAAAACAAGGATTTGTTGCAAAAGTTGTGTATTTGTTTAACAAAACTCATCTGATGGAGCAACTCAGTGAAAGTCTAAGAAGAAAAGCTGTGGTTTTAAGGGCTCGACACACGGGGAGCGACAAACTACAGCGATTAACGGCTGTCATCGCAGCCAGGGTGAAACCCGACACACG